ATAAGTGCCTAAAAAATAGCATAACTTTACTAAAAACGAGGAAATTAGTATCCACTTATTGTGCCTCAATATTGTTAGCTCAATTTTATAATTCTCAAAAAACCTCATTTTAACATTTTCTTTTACCTAGTATTTCTTACAATACTTATATCATAGTAGAAAATTAATATTGTACACTGAAGTTGTTGCCTTTCTTTTATCTTAAAACATTGATTGTCACGTGACTGAGGTCTTCTGATTTGTTGTATGATTCGTTAAAACAGGTTATGCTATTTTATTTGTTTAATCTCTAAAAAAATATTCAGATAAAAAACTTTATTTGAGTGAAGTAGGAAAAAAATAAAATTACACGTAACTATCGAATGTCCGTTACATTAATTATACTTTATTGCATAAGATTTTATTACAGTAAATGAATTAAAATTCTCCCTTAATCATTTTTGTAACGATATGTCATTGAAACTATAAGTTGTTTTTGTAAAAATATTTGAGAAGTTAACATCAACAAAAATGTTGCAATGGTAAGATTTTTAGTGTTTCTACTATTTATGCGTTTGAGAAGACCAAAAAATAATCTGAATCGTAACCTTCTTTTGTAGTGGAGTACATGTGGTACGGTTATTGAATGATTAAACTGAGTATAATAGTAGTCACAATAAGTGATATCACGCGAAGCGCGTTACACATAATTAGTATCACTAAAAAATTAAACATGTTTCCTAACAAAAACTAGATTCATACATTTTGCGGAAGCTTCGTGCTAATCTATTATCAGCAGTTATTTCATTTTACTTGATTTAGGTATACCTTTATTCACAAGCTAACACCACTAATGCAGTGTCGATGTCGTATCATATATTTTGTACATGTAATTGTTGCAAAATTTTTTTTTGAGGTACACCCTCGAAATGGGATTTATTTTACTCGCAATGTCGTGTGCTATGTGAAAACAACTGTAAAAATGGGTTTTAGTCAACATGACATCAGTTTTTGTAAGTAACATGCAATAATTATATATACATACGTAGAAATTTACAAAAAATATCCCATTTATGTCTCCTATTTTGATAAAAAACATTTTTTCGAGGTACACTTCCCAAACTGGGCTCATTTTACTCGTAATATTTTGTTCTATAAGAAAAAAACTTTTAAACTCAAGCTTCAGTGAGGGTGACACCCTTTTTCCGCGATTTACATATTAAAATTTGCACACACACGCGCGCGCGCGCGCACATACATATAGTTTGAACATGAAAATCGTGGAAAAACAGTGTCACCATTACTGAAGCTCGTGTTCAATATATATATATATATTATATATATATATATATACACAATCGACTTAGTGAGCTTGCTTAAAGGATATTTGTTATTTTACTTATACTAGTTATATACTAGTTATACATTAGGAGTCATGTGGATGTCTGCATAACTTTTCCATGCTATTAACATATATCTTTAAAGCACTTAAACTCTGCATAAGTTTCTTTTACTGAATACACACACCCACACCCACACACCTACACACACACACACATATATACATATATAGGTATTATATTTCTAGTTACATTTTTCAAGCGTTAATTCTGAGGAAGAAGACGGCGCATAAATAACTGAAAAGATCTGGCAAACAAAAGCAATGACGCCTCTGGCAACACCAACAACAACAAGAATAACAACACCACCGCTAACAACAACTTTGAAATAAATAACGTTAGAGGCAAATTTCACACAACTATTTGTTGTGTGTACACCTACATAGCACATACATACTTAGTGATGAGCTTCATCGGACCTAAAGAAAAAAGATCCTGTAAGGGAGTATCCCCTTCATTTACTAGATGTGCTGCAGAAAAATATAATACCGGCATAATTTTTAATGCGCTGTATACATGTTTATTTGTATTTTAACCTAGTTTTTTGTTTGTTTTTTCATTTAGGAGTAACTTTACATTCACTGAATGGTTATTTAAAGAACACTAACATGATCCTTGTACATATTTTTCTTCTTATAAAACAATATGAGTTTAATCTTGACATTTTTTATTGAGATATTAACAGATGAAGAGGCAAAAAATGAGTACACCCATTAGATGCCATGTTAAATTGAAAGATACATTCTCGTTAATAACTCGCTTCCAAAGCAGTGATAAGTCTTGAAGTTTCAACTGCAGCTTTGTCTTGCAATTATTTACCTACATTTCAAATATTATAAAAATCTTGACATTATTATGTATAAGGGGTATACTCCCTTAAGTACTCCATACGCCTCACTTATCACAGACGTGTATACTACAGAAAATTATACGCTGTCAAGTTTTGATGTCACGTTGTTTACTTTTTTTAACCACACTAAAAAGTTCTTAAACATGCATGCGTGTACGAATGTACGTGTGTACAGGCAGGGTTCATCTTTTTTTTCATTTTTTCATACCTAGAGGAGGAGAGGTTTACAGGTGTACATATGTATATATATATATACACAATCGACTTAGTGAGCTTGCTTAAAGGATATTTGTTATTTTACTTATACTAGTTATATACTAGTTATACATTAGGAGTCATGTGGATGTCTGCATAACTTTTCCATGCTATTAACATATATCTTTAAAGCACTTAAACTCTGCATAAGTTTCTTTTACTGAATACACACACCCACACCCACACACCTACACACACACACACATATATACATATATAGGTATTATATTTCTAGTTACATTTTTCAAGCGTTAATTCTGAGGAAGAAGACGGCGCATAAATAACTGAAAAGATCTGGCAAACAAAAGCAATGACGCCTCTGGCAACACCAACAACAACAAGAATAACAACACCACCGCTAACAACAACTTTGAAATAAATAACGTTAGAGGCAAATTTCACACAACTATTTGTTGTGTGTACACCTACATAGCACATACATACTTAGTGATGAGCTTCATCGGACCTAAAGAAAAAAGATCCTGTAAGGGAGTATCCCCTTCATTTACTAGATGTGCTGCAGAAAAATATAATACCGGCATAATTTTTAATGCGCTGTATACATGTTTATTTGTATTTTAACCTAGTTTTTTGTTTGTTTTTTCATTTAGGAGTAACTTTACATTCACTGAATGGTTATTTAAAGAACACTAACATGATCCTTGTACATATTTTTCTTCTTATAAAACAATATGAGTTTAATCTTGACATTTTTTATTGAGATATTAACAGATGAAGAGGCAAAAAATGAGTTCACCAGAGTGAGCACTAAGCCTAAGAGACTCATTGTTCCAAAGCAGTGATAAGTCTTGAAGTTTCAACTGCAGCTTTGTCTTGCAATTATTTACCTACATTTCAAATATTATAAAAATCTTGACATTATTATGTATAAGGGGTATACTCCCTTAAGTACTCCATACGCCTCACTTATCACAGACGTGTATACTACAGAAAATTATACGCTGTCAAGTTTTGATGTCACGTTGTTTACTTTTTTTAACCACACTAAAAAGTTCTTAAACATGCATGCGTGTACGAATGTACGTGTGTACAGGCAGGGTTCATCTTTTTTTTCATTTTTTCATACCTAGAGGAGGAGAGGTTTACAGGTGTACATATGTATATATATATATACATATATTTTGTACATCTACTCTTTATACAAGGGATTAAAAGGACCATAGAGAAGCAAAGCGCATGATGCACGAACAGATAAGTATAGGATGTGTTCCAAGCAGTGTACCGACGAGCGACTAAAAAAATCTGGTTATTAAGCTAATTCATTTGTGTACTATACAGCAATATTTTATCCGGAGTTTTTAATTCTCCTAAAGTATGTATATATTTTTTGCAAATTCATAATACAGCCTGTTGGCAACTTTTTATTACGAATATTCCGAATGAAGGATTGTTTGTGTTTCTGGTTACGCTCGTCAGTACACCATTTAAAAAACGTTCATATATACGCGCCTGATTAGTGTAGCTTCCCATATATCCTTTTTTTAACCATGCAGTTACATGAGTCTGAGTAAGTACGCGCCTGATCTAAAACGAAAAAATTTCACGAAAGCTTTGCACAGAAAGAATCCAAGTATCTAAGTGTATATGTGCCTGTGAGCTGTACATATTGCTAATAATCGGTAAAGTCAAAAAGTGATTGAAATGCGTGTAAGTGCTGGAGCAATAAGGTACTTTGATTACGGCTATATGATGAATTTTAACGGATATTATAATACCAAGAGGAAGGTATAATAATGAGAAAAAAAAGTGTGTCTTATTGATAACGACATGCAAGCTCTGAATTAAAGTACGTGTAAAAATGTATGTGTGTATGTGTAAGTGCGTTATCTTTCTTCTCCTTCTCGAAACAGTCGTCATCGTCGTCATCGTCGCCACGATGAGCGCAAGCCACAGTGACTATAGTCTCCATTGAAGCAACAAATGGGTGGATAGATGGGCATCATGTATGGGCACCCTTATCTCTTGACCCTGTCCAGGTCATTGTTGTTTTCTGCTGTTTCTCCTTTAAGTGCATACGTGCAACCCACGATAAAAACTGCAACGTGCTTCATATTTCAATCAAGGCTGTAAAATCACTTGGTCTCTACCTCTTGGAATTCTCACTGACAGCCACATTTGCACTTTACATGTACACAAATGATTTTTTTCATGCATACCCCCCCTCCCCCCACACACACTCACACGTACATAATTTATGTAAACACACCTACAAATTTTATTCTTATAAAAAAACAGTAGCACCGCTCATATATGCACATAATTCGATTGATCTTTTTAAAATGTTGCCAATTTGTATCCTTTATTTCTATCGACAATTGACAACAATATCGTCTCTCTGTATCTTTCTCTTTCTCGTTTGTTACTTTTGAATTGAGAAATAATTATTTTTTACTGTAGTAGGCAACAGGGAAGTGTGTTGGGTAAGGAGAGGGAAGGGTAAGGAAAGTAAGGATCCAGAACATGTAGTTTATAATAGAGTTGATTTGACATATCACCTGTCTGTCGAAAACCACGACTTGCTGAACGCCATATTGTTGAATAGAAGGCTGTTTATAACAAAACACGTCGACGTTGACTAACATATATCTACATACCTGCACATACTTGTAACAGACGCATGTAACCGATGTTAGCGCGCGCGTGTGTATGCGCATTAGATATACACGTACGCTGATATGTATATTTAACGCGAGGTGCGCAGGCACTCCGTACCTACTATCAAGTCTCGTCCGTCCGCCCGCACGCGAATGGCAACATCTATAGTATTAGTGGAGGGACAGTAGCTTAGAATGTCGTATAGACAATGGAGTATACCGACAAGCTTAAGCGGCTCTATGTAGGCCTCGACTGTCACTCTTTGTATCTACAACTGAACTGACTTGGAACAACGAGACCGAGAGAGAAAAAGAGAGAGAGAGCTTCGGCTCGATCGTATTTGCTGCGGTTTCCCCTCCACTTTTTCGTAATATCTCTCTTAGTCGTGCTTTCATATCACCCACTACAGTACATACATCCACCTCCATAGTCCATACTCATATACATCTCTCTCTCTCTCTCTCTCGCGCGCGTTTTATCACTTATTAACACTTCCCCTTCCCCAATCCTATACTCACTACTCTTTTTATTTTATGAACTATTACCATTAACGCCAGACCCAGCAAGCATGATAGTTTCGCTCTTTCTAATGTACAACAAACTACGAGTACTGTATGATCATATTTTGTGTCTTGATAATTTGCTTGCAAGTAGTTATTAGAAATAAGGAGTGTAAGAGTGTACTCGGAAAGTACGGTAGGGTAGGTATACCAATAGAACGACACGGAAGCGCGCGCACCAATACTTCTCACTGATAACATATCGTCGCCTCATCGTCATCACCGTGTCGTCGCTCTTCGCTTTTTTTCTTCTCTTTATTTCCGCGTCTATTTTTTTCCAGCACACAGCATACCTCTATCATATGTACCACTCTTGCTCGTAGCTTCAAGCCAATTTCCACTGTTTCCACACTTAAGGTGGTGCTTTCATGACTCCCGAATCAAAGGTGTGACTATCGAGTTGATGATATGTATTAATACTGCTTAAATTTCAAACGAGTATTTGTAAATATTGTTTATTGAGTCAAATTAGGTTCTAATACAAAACTTTAGATTATGACATCTAAGATACAAAAGTTCGTGTAAAATTTGTACTTAACCTTAAAATACCAGCAGTCGATGCTTGCCTATGCTTTCAACATAGCACACGAAAATTTGTACCTCTGTTTATTTTAATATCTTTTGATTAAGTCAGTGAACATATATATTTTGAGATAGCAGTATGTTAAGTATTGCGCCAGCTTTAGTATGACAGTTTTTCACTTAATAAAGTAAATAAATAACTAAGCTACAATTTTCAGTAAAAAAATGCTTAGTTGCCATAAGAGCACATGTTTAGAATTTACTTTTCATATATCATTTTCTTGCGTTTATATTCGTCAGCCTACTCTAAAATTTTGCGTGGTAGTGTATTGTACCTTAATACATAATTCCTGTATACGTTGGTAATCCACTTTTTTTTTAATCCCACATTTGCACGAATGAAGATCTTCAGAATATCTAGAAACGCAAGTTGTCGATCGTCTAGAATGTGCCTATTGGGATTCCAAAAGGTCACGTGACTCTCACGATGTATGTATATATAGTCACTTGGGGAAAAAATAACACAGGCCTTATGGGTACAATTATATTTTTATTTTTTTTACACGTTGAACGATTGTAATAGGATGAAAGCCAAAAAGAGATGACAATACCTTAACTATTTTTTCCCAACTCAATTAGATTTTTGCAGCTTAAAACTTGTCTTTGAAAGTGCAGAAATGCACATTTTCAATCTAATAATGCGTAAATTTTAATCTTCAATAATACTATGTTACAATACTTGTTGAACTGTACACGAACGTTTATTTGTATACCAATGCAGCTCGTCAATGCTATACCATGTTACTACCTTGAGCAGGCATAATTAAACTTAAAAAAATGAAAAGTGCACACATCGACACTCATTATCACAATTATAGTAGGTTGATCTTTTCAACCTAATAAAAAAAAAACAAAGCAACTTGATACTTGTATCATTCTTAGTCACCTATAAAATTTGTACTAAGCCAAATAATTTATTGATAACTTAAGCAAAATGCACAAGAAAATCTGAAATTACCATGGAATAAGCCGATGCTATAAAAATATAACTACGAAACGCACTTAAGATATTTTTCATCAACTGTGGTAAAAGTTATTCATTAAATAAACGAATACAACTCTTGTAATGATTAAATAAATTTAAATAAAACCTTATCTAGAAAACGTTGAGAGATCATGGGTAAGTTGAGAAATCTATGATTTAACATATGTTAGTGTAACATTGCCTTTGTATCTAATAGTCTCAGGCTCGAGACACGTAATATATTTAAAATTTTCTTGTAACGTTTTTATCCTTCAGTAATTATTTGTTCAAATACATCTGAATACGACAGGACTATAGGTTAATTTACAAAAGGACTTCTTATTTTTCAATTACATTTTCTTAAGCTTCTTTCGTGCAAAATAAATACGCCAATACACTATCATAGATCATCATAATTTTTTTAAATTTTTAGTCTCCTACAAGCAAACTCAACACAAGTACTAAAGGACAGGGAATTAGTCGTCTAGTATATTTCAAGGAGAAAAAAATTTCTTATTCGTATCTTTAGACATAATTTTTTTTTGTCAAACAAATACTTATCCACATATATTGCAATAAATTTTCCATCAGCTCAAACTAACACTTAGTTAAACAAAGAATCGTACGTGCTTAAGATGTTAAAAATAAGCTTCAATGCTTCTTAGAAAATATAAGTTCAAAACAAGAAATAAGCTATCTCGTATTAGTCAAAAGAAAACAAAAATATATTTTTATCGCCTCGACATTCGTATATTCTCAATATCAGTGCTTGTTTAATCAAAGTAAACAATTTTTTGTTTGTAACCTTAAAAATACTTCATGTCAATCAAATAAATATTAATTCAGATAAACTCCAATATATATTTTTTTAGTTTAAATAAACTCTTAGTTACATAATAAATTGTGCGTATTCAAGATATCAAAAATCGGCTGATATACTTTCTTAAAAAATATTTATTGAAAACAAGAAATAAGTTGTCTCATATTTGTTATAGAGAAAAAATGTTTATTTCGATTCAATAAATATGAACGTACTCTCAGAATCAGTGCTTGTTTAATCAGAGTAAATGATTTTTATTTGTAATCATAAAAATAGTTTTTTTGATCAAACTCATATTTGCTGTGATAAATCGAATTACATATTTCATTAGTTTCAATAAACGCATAGTTAACTAAAAACTGTGAGTATTCAAGACATCAAAAATCAGCCCATATGATTGATTAAAAAACATTTATATTTGATTTAGGAAAAAAGTTGTGTTTTACTAAAATATGCGTATAGCCTCAACATCAGTGCTTATTTGATCAAAGTAAATTATTTGTTTGTTTGTATTCTTTAAACTAATTTTCTTAATTGAATAAATATTTATTCAAATAAATAGGATAACATGTCTCATAAGTTTGAATTCACACTTAGCTGAATTATGAATTCTGCGTGTTCAGAAAATCCAAAATCTGATGAAATGCTTTTGAAAAGTATTTATTTAATGTAATAAATTAGCTATCTCACATTTGTAACAGCGAAGAAAATGTTTATTTTAATTCACTAAATATCCATGTCGGTGTTTATTTGATCACAGTACATAATTTTTTTGTATGTATTCTTAAAAATAATTCCTCTCAATCGAACAAATATTTATCTAGATAAATCAAATTACATATTCTTTTAGTTTAAATCAACATTATGTTAAGTTATAAATTGTGCGTATTCAGATTATTAAAAACTAGATTAATCACATCTTAGAAAATATTAATGTGATATAAGAAATAAATTGTCTGATATTTTTTCTCGGGAAAGAAATTATTATTTTGATTCTCTAAATATGCTTGCGCTCTCAATATGAGTGCTTATTCGATCGAAGTAAAGAGTTTTTTGTTTTTCTTAAAAATATTTATTCAGATGGATTCCAATACATATTTCATTAGCCTCTAATAAACCCTTAGTTGAACTATAAATTGTGTGTGATCAGGATATCGAAAATCAGATGTTAATCAGTACTTTTTGAAAGGAAAACAAATTTTTTTTTTGATCAACTAAGTATGCATGTACTCTCTATGTTAGTGCTTATTTAATAGAACTAACAAATTTTTTGTTTATATGATTAACAATAGTTTCTTTAAATCAAGTAAATATTTATGTGAATTCATTTAAGAACGTTCATGATACACAGCGTTTTGGGTAAAATCATCCTGAAATTTCAACAGAATATTCGTAATAATCGAGGTAATTATGATAGAAAGTCACCTGTTAAATTTAAGACTGTTTTACAACATCGTTTTTTACATATTGAATGTTGAAAAAACTTTAGTTTAACACGTAACCTTATGGAGTAGTCACATACAAATAGAATTTATTAGAAAACGGTATGTAGAATTTTGCCAATTTTTTTTTTGCATGACGCAATACCATAAAACTGGTAGTAGTATTATGATTCCAACGTAAACTCATTTCAGGGATTTTACGTATCTTGTGTCTCTCATCTTTACCTCCTATGTTCTTTTTTTTTCGTAAATACCATGAATTTCCTCAAGTATGCGAGTCTTTCGTGCGGCCCCTTCGAAAATTCGCCTCAGATGACTCGGTCATCCATCCTACTGGGTACTATTTACAGGGCGCAGCGATTGTCTCAAGCACACCCCAGCTATTGTCAAGTTTAATGGGAAGATATTTTTTCAATAAACCGTCTTAACTTGCTGTACTAACTTTTTTATAACAAACAGTGACTTTACCCGGTGAGCTGGCCAGGTGTTAGCTATCCTTGGCACACTGAGAAAAGTGGTGTTAGAAAAAGTGTTGCAACTATAATAAAAATTACTATATTTTATAGGAAAGCTGAGACATACTCGCCATATTATAAAAATTACTATGC